GATGACGGGGGAAATACACCACTGACCATCCCGCGGTGTGAGTGCTCCATGCCGGATGTGCGGTTCACACAGCGCTCGGTTCGCAAAGCACACCTCTCCCTGGACATCCACAAGTCGAATGGACCTGACGGAATCCCCCAATTGTGCTGAGAACGTGTGATCCGAAGTTGGCACCGGTTTTAGCGCGTCTTTTCCGGTACTTCTACTCCTTAGGCGTAGTCCCGAAAATATGGAAGACTGCTCAGACCCGTCTAACTACAGGTCTATCGCCATCACTTCCTTGTTCTCCAAAGTAATGGAATGCGTTATAAACTACCAGCTCATGCGGTACCTTGAGGATCACCAGCTGATTAATGACCGCCAATACAGTTTTCGGCGGGGTCAATCAGCTGGTGATCTTCTGGTCTACCTGACACATAGATGGACGAAGGCAGTAGAGTCCAAGGCGGATGCATTGGCCGTTAGTTTGGACATTGCGAAGGCCTTCGATCGGGTTTGGCACAAAGAGCGCTTCTTTCGAAGCTCCCTTCCTATGGACTTCCCGAGAAATTGCGCAACTGGATCACCAGCTTTCTTGCAGATCGGAACATCAAGGTCGTTGTAGACGGTGTATGCTAAGACTACAAAACTATTAATGCCGGTGTTCCACAAGGCTGCGTGCTATCACCAATGCTGTTTCTTCTGCGTATCAATGATATGTTGCGAAGTGGTAACATTCATTGCTATACAGATGACAGCACTGGTGATGTGATACACCGGCCGTGCCAGTATTTCTTGGGAAAACGTCGCTGAGTGCCGGTAAAAACTTGTTTCTGAAGTAGAGTCTTTGCTGAACAAAGTCTTTTTCAAAGTCTTTGTCAAATTCGGGGCGAAAAATCTAGTCCAGTTTAATCCTCAGAAGACACAAATTTGCTCGTTTACCACTAAAAAGAACCCCTTTGTCGTATTTCTTCAGTTTGAAGGCACTCCTCTTGTTGCCTCAGCCAGATAATATTATTCTGTGTATTTCAAAAGCTAAACTAAATTAAAACAATTTTATTCTAAAATTAATATGTTTTGATTACATTAACAGAGATGTAGCATCCCTTTGCATTTTGCACATGGAATGCTCTGAGGAATTGTTCGGATTAATCCCAGTTGCCAAATTTCACGAATGCACATTGTGGCAAACTTCCGATACCATCCACACCATCTGAATGCTTGGCGGTCCACCACTGTACGTTTCATTAGGAGTTTTCTTCTGCGTACGACTTCTCTGTGGAATAATTTACCACCGGCGATTTTTCTGCACCGATATGACTTAAGGACCTTCAAGAAAAGGCTTTATTCTTTTTAAAAGGCCGGCAACGCACCTGTAATTCTCTTGGTGTTGCAGTTGTTCATGGGCGGCGGTAGTCACTTACCATCAGGTGAGCCGTAAGCTCGTTTGTCCCCTCTCCTATAAAAAATGTACTGGTTTATGGATCTAAATCAAACATAGACTTATGTATGTATAATAATCAAAGCATTAAAAAGCGTAGGATCACAGCACATCATTTTATATAAATCTTTATATATAAAAATTACGTATCACGTTGTTTGTCCGAAATTATATTATAATTCTGAACTGATTTCAATGAAATTTTGCACACTGTGTGTGTTTTGGTTCAACTTGAGAGATAGGATAGTTTTCATCCCGATAAATGACCCTCAAATTTTTTTATTGCGAATTTAAGGATTTTTATAGGAAGGGTCGTTGGAAAGGGCAGAACAACGTCTGCCTGGCGAGCTAGTTTTATATAAAATTTTATATAAATACTGAAAAACAGACCTTTTTATTATTTGCAATAGTTTTTTTTAAAGCGTAGACTTCTTTGTCTCCAATCAATGGTATAAAATCAAAGATCAACGTGCACGAACAAAACTGCATAATTTTATAGACTGACGATGAAATGTTGAAAACATTAAATCAATTTTTTTATACAATAAAGATGACAAACGAGCGCCACAGTCCACGTCATAGTAAATGGATTCGCTGGCCCATAGACGTCTATATCTATCTTCGATTAAGAATCAAAATGCAGATGCGTTACCACTCCTGAAGACTAAGATGGAACGCCTCGTTTTCAATAAAAATGGTCATTTGTCTTCTAATAGTAATGTGAATCCTGTTTTTCCAACCCTGTGTGTGTGTGTGTGTGTGTGTGTGGAATTACAATTCCATGCATAGCCCTATTTTTAACTGTGGAAATCTTTGCTGATGATTATGATGATGACTTAATGACACTACTGAGTATGTTACTTATAAAATCAGCTAGCCTGAAGATTATTTAAGCTTCAGTTTTTGGGTTGAGTGTGCATAATTTAAATCACGAAGCTTAGGGCCCAATAACGTTAGCGCTGACGCAGACAGGTAGTTAAGTACCTACGTCGTCTCGGTGAGACCGTGGTAGCGCGTCTTTGAATTGACCAAACGGTGACAAATCACACCATTCCTTTTGTACATTTCTGTAGACTACGAGTACCAAATATTTGTTCTAAGGTTTCTTTACTTCGGAATTTCATTATATTTTTATTAGTCATGGCTACTGCCAGATGAATTATCAATTGCGGCGTTAATATACTATTTGTCTTTACACGAGAATTTTCGTAGTAGAGCTTTTGATACACCAACATTCATTCTATCTTGACTTACTTATCTGCCTTTTATTCTATGAAATATGGGAGCAGAGTAACATAACGGGATGCAGTGGCGTAGCTATGTAACCAAGGGCCCGGGGGAAAAAATGAAATTGGGGCCCTATTTAAACTAAACTGTTGTAAACCAGTAACGTCACCAGTGCGGTGATGCTTTATACTCCGGCTGTGCCTATATTTCTCGGAAAAACGTCGCCGAGTACCGGAATAATATTATGTATAAGTCGAATTTTTGCCAAATAATGTCTCGGATTGGGGCGACTAAATCTAATTAACTTCAATGTCCAGAAGGCACAACCACAAGTTTGCGCGTTTACTACTAAAAAGAAGCCCTTTTTTGTAAATTCTCAATTTCAAGGCTTGTTACCTCAGCCAGTATCGGAATCTTCGGCGTTGACGTATCAAATAACGTTCAGTTTCGTGGTCGCTTAGAAGGGAAAGCTGAATTAGCCTCTAAAAAGCTTGGTGTGCTCAGCAGAGCAGGGCAGTATTTTATGCCGGCACACTGCTTGCAACTTTACAAGAGGCAGGTTCGACCTCACATGGAATACTGTTCTCATCCCTGTTCCGGGGTTCCCTAGTACTCCTTCCACTTGACCGCATCCAGCTCAGAGCGACTTGAATCGTCGACGGCCGAGGAAGACGAAAGACGAGACGAAGAGATGTTGCATCCCTTTGCATTTACTATTGCATTTACCACGGGGAGTGTTCAGAGGAATTGTTCGGATTAAATCCAGCCATAAAATTTTATCAACGTATTTCACAAATTCACATTATCGGGATGTTTGGCGGTCCACTACTGTTGGATCGATACAACTTAGAATCTTCAAGAAACGAGCTTACTCCTTTTTAAAATAGCCGGCGACGTGCCTGCTATTACCCTGGTGTTGTATTTATTAATAGGCGGTGGTCGACACTTGCCATCAGGTGAGCCGCCTGATCGTTTGTCGCACTTTTATATATAAAATGACAAAAAAAAACGATATAGACAATTATCTTTAATGTTATATTTATGTAACTGTTGTTAGTATCTATACTAGCATCTCGGTATGTTCGCATTTTCGTTTTACATCTTCGACAGCCCTTTGAATATCTGTTAAAGACTATGATGGACCTTTTTTCTTTTTCTTATAATTTCTAAGCATGATGTGTACCTTAAAAATACTTTCCAATTACCAACCACCGAGAATACACTATTAGTTACATTATTTTCAATTAACCCGATATTTTCATTTACCCCACATTACAGTAGATGGTATAATTGCGGTAAAACTAAACATGTAATTTCATACAAAAATGTGAAACATTACCTTTAAATTACATGCACAATTATTAGTCATGATCATTATCATTGCTATAAAACAAATGCTAAGGCGTACTAACTTTGTTTTGCCACACTAAAAGGTCAAATAATATCTGCCTACGGAACTGTTTTCTTAAAAAAATATATAAGAAATTGTGCTTTCACGTTATCCAGTTTATTACTGGAGTGAGATGGAGTGATCTCTGTCATCATAATGCTGGACATGGACAAAATTTACCTTTATTTCTATGCAAAACTCTGAAACATGGTAATGAAAGGATTTTTGAAGCTTGTTTTCATTGAGGGCTAATAATTTTCTGCTCACCACTCACCAGATGTCGCTAGTTGACACTGAGGCAAAGTTTTTTGTTACACAATTTCATTTAATTGAGTAGATAGTTTTTAATAATTGTTTATCAATTTCTAGAGTATTATATTAATACACAAATAATGCCTCAGGGGTTTGATATTTAAGTTTTTGCACGTCTGTGGTTTGGTTTAATTATTTTTCATCTTATTAATATAAAATAGAGATAATAGTACAGAAAGAAACATTAACCTTTACATTTTCGGAACTAATTAACTTCCCCGCTATGAAATCTGTCAAATATTATACCTCACTTTTAAGTGGCGCTGCCATGGTGGCAGAAAAAGTAGTGGACCTCCCTACTTCTGTTTACAATTTCCTTGCCTGAACCTAACTCTAGTTTTTCTAATAAAATTAATTTTGTGTGCCAATATAATGTTTACTTTTTTAATTGTAAGTATTAGTATTACAAATCATGACTGAAGCGTGATTACTGATTGCGAAGTTTATTTTCCTGGCTCAATCATCGTAATTTTTCTTAGAATCTTCGTATTTAAATATGGCAGCACTGTATTGAACAGTGTCACTGTCAAAAGTTAAAATATCAAAATCAAAATAATTTATTATCTTTACAATACACATATTACATACGGTAAAAACATTTTCATTGTTTCTACTGTCACACTCTTATTAATATAAATATATAATATATTAATGGCTTCTACAAGCGCTGATTCTCAGTCTACTATAGCTCAGAAAACATGGGCTATGGCTAACAACATAGAAACTGTTTCCAGTGTGGATGAAATTTATCGCTATGATAAAAAACAACAACAAGATATTTTAGCAGCTAAACCTTGGGAGAAAGAGTGAGTGTCTGATTAATTTTATAATAAATTTTGAATTGCTCACTACCCTAAACTTTAATAAAATGTTACAGTCCTCATTTCTTCAAAGATATCAAAATCTCTGCGCTTGCTTTATTAAAAATGGTTATGCATGCAAGATCAGGCGGCACTTTGGAAGTAATGGGGCTGTTACTTGGTAAGTATAGTTTGATTACATCTCTGCTGTGTTTTATATGGTGAGTGTAGAGAACTGGAGAGCCTTTTTATTGAAAACAAAGCATTCCATCTTAGTCATCAGCGGTGACCACACATCTGCAGTAAGATTCCTAATTTAGGGAAAATGTAGATGTCTATTGGCCACGGTATCCACTTACCATCAGGTGGACTGTATGCTTGTTTTAGTATTCTATAAAAAATAGTTCTATGAAGTTGGTTATTTTTTTATGTTAGGTAAAGGATTAATTTTATGTTATAAACACATCAAAATATGAAGCAAGTAACTAAACAGCAAGTAAAAGTAAAAAAACAATAGGGCTTTGTTATCAATTAAAGCTCTCAATTATATTTAAAAGTAATAAAATACAACCTTAAAAATTGTATTGTGATTTTTGTTCTCTCATTGTTGAGTGAGGCTGTTTTGCTCTGTTGTGTGTGTAAACAGACTTTACATATATATATATATATAATTCCTGGACATTTTTAAAGGATACTAGCAACACTATTAGCTTAGAATCATCATCATCATCATCATTACAGCCTTTCACAAGTCCACTGCTGAACATAGGCCTCCCCCAAGGAATGCCACAAAGCACGGTCCTGAGCCACCTGCATCCATCGACTTCCTGCATGTCTTACCAGGTTGTCACTCCATTAGCTTAGAATAGAATAGAATAATTTTTATTCAATATAGATTACAGTAATACTTATTGTAAGTCATTTTTTATTTTTACCACTGATTCGGATAAAACTTCTGTCCTGGGAAGAACCAATAAGAAACCCAGCGGGACTAGTTTTTAAAAGAACAATTTACAATATAATATTTTATACACTTGTTATGAAAAAATTTAGAAACAGCATGGTAGCAATCACCTCATTCCCAGGGGTTATTATTAGTCAATTACTCTTTAATAGTATAACCCTTACTAGACAATTTTTGCTTAATAAATGTTTTAAACCTTTTGTTAGATAAGGTCTCAGGGTTGGCTGATTTAAATCAGACTGATTTAAATCATGATTTAAATCACGATTTAAATCGCTTGATTTTGATTATAAAAATCATGGATTTAAATCAAAATCTGTAAATTAATGTAATAGACAGAATATGAAATAAAACTGGCTTAAAATAAGGTAAAATCTTGTTGTTTTATGTTATTCTTATTATTCTACTACAATAGTCTAATAAACTTTGGAAAATCAACGATGATGTAGCGATGAGGTCTGTCAGTCACATAAACTTACTAAAATCCTTTTTTTTTAGAATTTCACCCTTAATATATGAACTGTAATTAATACAGTATTAATTATTTTACTCTTAATCAGTCTCATACATATCTATACAAATAAATAAAATTGAAGTGTCTGTTTGTAATGTCAAAATTACGGCTTTATGAAATGAAATGAAAGTATATATACAATACATATAACAAAAAAAAATTTTTTTTAATTTTTGTCTGTCTGTTTATTCCGGCTAATCTCTGAAACGGCTGAATCAATTTTGACGGGACTTTCACTGGCAGATAGCTGATGTCATAAGGAGTAACTTAGGCTACTTTTATTTTAGAAAAAGAATTAGGGTTCCGCGCAAAAAAACTAAAACCCCAAATAACATGCGGGCGAAATCGCGAGGAACAGCTAGTGTATTCATAAACTTTTAATCCAACTATGTCAAAAAGTGTTACCAACTCGTGAATTTCCAAATATACAAAAAAATCAAAAAATTCAAAAAAATCAAAAACATCATGATTTTTTTTAAAAAATCAGCATGATTTGATTAAAATTAAAAAAATCATGATTTTTTCCATCCCTGTAAGGTCTGCATATTTACTATACTCCCATTTTTTTTAACTTTACTTATTCTCCCGTTATTCACCCCAAGTAAGCTTGAAATTGAAATGCTTGTGTTAGGTTATGATAGTAGTCAAATGGTGGATGCAAACCCACAACTTTCTTAGTTTGCAATCTTCAGATACTACTAGGCTACTCATCTATTTTCGAGATGTTAGTGCTGTTAGGCTATGCGGCTTTTACAGCTTAATCTGTCACAAAGCAACTACCACTATGCTATGCAATCTGTTTCTTTTCTGTATTATACAACTTGTTGGACAACATAGTATCAAAAGAGATTCACTTCATTTTGATACTATATTTCGACGGCTCCGTGGCGCAGTAGCTTAGCAATGAGTTGTTGCGCTGGGGGGCGTGGGTTCGTATCCCGCACGGAACAAGTATTTGTATGGCCTACAAATGATTGTTCCGGGTCTGGATGTTTGTCCTTGTGAAATTTGTGTTTGTAAACTGCCTCCACGATACAGGAGAAAATCCTAGTGTGGGGGTAACGTTTTTTATAAAATAAAAAAAAATAAAAAAATATATATTTTCCAATGTGATATTTGTGACTTTCAATTTAGTACTTAATTCAGAATATAATAATATGATTCTCAATACATCTGAGAATCACACAGTAACAACAGATGAGACATCTATTTAAATACACAATATGTAAGAATATAAATATGCCTTCAGTTCACATGCGGTAGAAGTGAAACCTTCAGAAAACTAAACTTCGTGAGAATGAGACAAATGCATAGTATCAGAAGTAGGATAATTGTATGGAAATTTTAAATAAATGTAAATAAAAAAGTGTAATAATTTATAAAAAACTGACATGGCAATTCATGTAATGCATAACAATATTACCACACATTCGAATTCAAAGATGTATAGAGTTGTCATGGATAAGGTTGTCTGCTTTTAAAATTATAAAACCGGCCAAGAGTGAATCAGACTCATTCATGAAAGGTTCCGTACCAATTCTCATGTTTTTAGTAGGGGAGCTCCCTTAATATAAGATAATGAAGGGCTGTTTTCCGTACGTCTAAGCGCGTATTTTGATGGTGGCCAGAAATAATGTGATTATTCGAGCCATGAAATCTTGTAGAAGTTCTATAGTCCATCGATGTTGCGAGCAACTTCTGGGAGTAATCTCGGCGTGCCGAGATGTTTAGCCCCGTATGCAGTGACCTCCGGACATGTCAGCGACACGTAGGCCGCGGTTTCTTCCTCACCCATGGTTTGGTCATGGTTGGTCTTGGTCCCCTGGACTATCTGTAACACCTATGGCAAATAAATGTTTGTTAAAAGGAGCTATTTCATGTGATAGCACTTGTTACTATTCTAATCTGTGGCTTGGTCAATCCCATTAGAAGCCACCTTGCAACTCAGAGCTTGTAGTACCGCTATGCTGTCGGTAGTAATCTGATGGAGGAGTCTTTTACTTTCCTAGCATCTATTGCTATGGCCGCCCGAATGATACCTATACATTCTGCCTGAAAGACTGTGTTGTGGGTACACAGCGGTGTAAATAGGTGGACATCATCGGTGAAAATTCTGAGTTCTTTTGGGTTTAAACCCACCGGCTAGTTAGTTTCATTAAATTCTATCTTGTATTTCTTATCAAATACAAATTTTTTAGGGTTCTTAACATATTTGGCTTGCAAGATGGGAATTTTGGAGTAAATTCTATCAATTAGACCTGTATATAGAGCCGTGGTCGCTCAGATGGTTAGTGCTCGCTGTAAGTTACACAGTAAGTCCTGGGTTTGATCCCCGCCGACACCAATGAAATTGTTAATTGCAATTTTAAATGCTGATTTACCATCTGCTCGGCGGTGAAGGAAAACATCGTGAAGAAACCGGCATGTCTGAGAAATAAGAAAAAAAATGTTTCGAAGATATGTGAACTTCGCCAACACGCGTTGTAGCAGCGCGGCTGTCATTTCCTTGCCCTAAAACCCTCTAAGAAATAAGAGGAGGCCTGTACCTGTGTGTATATAGGCTGTAACTTTAACTTTTTGACTTATACCTGTATGGGGAATTCTGTTCTTATTTCATAGATTTAGGGTCTTGAGTCTGATGGCAGCTAAAGTCACTTCTTGTTGTATGTGTAGGTGAAGCGAAGTTAGCTCCAGCATAGCTTCTAAGGTTTCTGTTGATGTTGTTCTTATGCAGCCCGTGGCAGTCATACATGCCAGTCACCGTTAGCGCTGAAGCTTCTTAATTGTGGTGGCTTCATTTGTTTGGGTCCACCATACCAGAGCACCTTATGTGATCATGGGCGAATCATGATTTTCTGTAGCCACAGTATAATCGGCGTCGTACCCCATCATTTACCAATCATGTTGTTTTTTTTTTCTAAATACTAGTAATGTTATTAAACATTACTAATATTCCCTTTAACCACTTCTGGTAAGCTTAAAATGCTTGTGTTAGAAGTGGTTCACGACAGTAGTCGAATGGCGGATTCGAACCCACGACCTTTCGAGTTCGCGGTCCGCGCCCTGCCATTAGGCCACTAACGCTTTTGCATTGCCAAAAAGTTATACTAGCCTTGTTGATTTTGTTTTCTATGTTTATTCCAGTTCAGTTTATTGTCCAAGGTGAGACGTAAATATTTTACCTCAGAGGATAGCTGGAGTTTTGTGCTGAAGAGATTTGGGAGTTGATTCAGCATTTGTTTTTGTGTGAACATTACTTTTGGGTTAACGGTTAAGTCATATTCCCTACACCATCTCTTCACTATACGGAGAGCCGCTTGAGTCAGGTCGCACACCATGCTTGCTCTTTCCAGAGACCAGTATTGTCAGGATGTCAGGTCATCTGCTTAACCCACTATGTAGAAGTGATTGGCATTTAATTTGCTGATGAGTTCATTAATGACCATATTCCACAGGAGAGGTGAAAGAACCCCACACTACGGGCATCTTTCTTGATCTGGATTGTTTGACATTCACCAACAATCTTTATTGTTTGTGTACTGAGCATGTTTACTATCCAGTCAATCAGTGCCGTTTTAACTTTATGTCTACTGAGGGCAGCTTTAATGCTGGAGAAGTTTGTTCTGTCAAAAGCACCTTCTATATCTATGAAGGAACCTAGACATATTGCTTTGTTTTGGATGGCCTCCTGAATCTTTGTTATTACTTGGTGATGTGCCGATTCTTTCGATTTACCTAAGCTATAGGCGTGTTGCTTATCGTGTAGTGGTAAGTTCATTAGCGCCAATCCCCTTACTTCCCTTTCACACATTCTTTCCATCATCTTTAGGAGAAAGGATGTGAGGCTAATGGGTCTATATGGGAGCTCCCTTTAATTTGTAATTTATTTTTACTTTTATTATTTGTTGTTATGCACTCACCCTATGTTTTATTTTTTTTTGCTAATATCATTCCTGTGTATACTTGTAGGATCAGGCAGGGTGTTTCTTTAGATATTGTATGCATATTAGTATACAAGGAATGTACCAAATTATTAATAGTAAAAATATAAATATTATAATGTCTATATTAACTTATTTAAGCATTAATTTGAATCGTTACCTTCTATAGGTAAGGTGGATGCCAACACCATGATAGTGATGGATTCATTTGCATTACCAGTCGAGGGCACAGAGACTAGGGTCAATGCACAGGCTCAGGCTTACGAGTACATGACAGCTTATATCGAGGCTGCTAAGCAGGTAAATTTACCATCCTTCTTTCATTAGCTGAACGCACATTTGTCCGCGCCGTACGCACCGAATTTTAGAATTCGTTGTATGAAATCATATGAAACCTCGCACACTACACCCGCATTGTACGCGCCGAATTTTATAAAATCGGTAGGTATACGATATCGAAGGACGAATGCTGATGACGTCATATAGCGCGGCGCGTGCTGATACTCAGTGTTGTCTAATGTTGCCAACTTAGTGGATTTTCCACTGTAACTGGTGGTTTCGACTTACATGATAATTTTTGTATTTTTATAACTTTTAATTTATTAGTAATTAATTATACATAATTTGAATTTCTTTTTGCATCGATTATTAATATGTATATCCCCTTTATATTCTCCATATAATTGCCTTTTTAAATTAATGTTATGAATCCAGAATCTTCTTTTTCTTCGAATTTTATTTTCTTCTTCCTTTGCCAATAAGCAGGCTATTACTATATTTCTTTCCATAGTGTTTTTAGTGATCAATTTCACTGTACCATTTCACACCAGTGCTTGGAAAAAACTACAAAAGTTGTTGGTAATACAAAATATTTTCGTACGGCGGTACGGCGCGGACGGTGCATACGGGCAAATGTGCGAGGCCATCAGTAAAACTCGGCGCGTACAGTGCGGACGAATGTGCGTTCAGCTATTATGAGGAATTTCCAGGCGGCGTTTAGTCCATACAAATTTTTTCCTCTGTATTCTCCCTGGATAATGACACTAGAGCAAATACTTTTTATGATACAATCTATATCCTACCACTACCATGTAATATATGCAATAATATCTTTATATTATTTAAAAAAAATAGGAACCTTCTAAAATTAATAAAACTACCCAATTATAGCGGCGCTATAGGCGTATTCAGCAAACAAATGTAACGAATATAAAAAATTTAAAGCAGCATAAAACTCCAGCTACCCTCTGAGGTAAAATACTTAGGTCTTATCTTGAACAGTAATCTCGACTGGAATAGACACATAGAAAACAAAATCAACAATGCTGGTGTAACTTTCTGGCAATACATAAACATGATTGGCAAACAAAAGGGTTTGACCCCTAAAATTATATTGTGGCTGTACAAAACTGTAATTCACCCCATGATCACATACGGCGCTCTGGTATGGTGGTATACTAAACGATAAACAGGGACAGCTACAATGATTCTAAAATTGTTGTTGTTGTTTGGGCAAAGCGTGAGCAATGGATTGTTAAAAACCTATTTTTCAAATTACTTGAAGACCCAATATCTTCTTAAAGTCTGTATTAATTATATCCTCTGTTTACTTTAGTCTTTTCAGCTAACAATTTGTTTTGTAGTATAAACTAACATTAAGATTGTCAATCTGTATGAACAAACAACTTGAAAACGATTGAATCAGTTGACACTACATTTTTCACAGAAACAAAACTAAAATGTCCAAGGGTTTATATTCACAACCTGTGTAATATCTGAAAAGATATCTAAGTAATGATTTTTTTTTGTCTTTTATTGTAAATATTGTATGATTGTTATTTAAAATATTGTCATATTTTACAGAATTATTATATCAATAAAATACAAAAATGTAGTATTTTGTACTTCTTAAAAGGAATTTATTAATATTATATATATTTAGACAGAATTGCAATGTGTTTTGAAATATTTCAACAGGTGGGTCGTCATGAAAATGCAATCGGTTGGTATCACAGCCACCCTGGCTATGGCTGCTGGTTGTCCGGCATTGATGTCTCTACACAGATGCTGAATCAGAACTTCCAGGAGCCTTTTGTAGCAATTGTCATTGACCCTGTGAGAACAATATCTGCTGGAAAAGTTTGCCTCGGTGCTTTTAGGACTTACCCCAAGGTATGTAATTATATTTTTAATATACTTAACATTAAATAAATATAATGATAGCCGTATAATGGCGGCATAAGAGAATCCACTATCCCATATCGAAAGAGGCGACTGATGATATGAAACGGGTGGTGGACAGCAGCATCTCGCAAACTGTGGCAAATATACATATGCAGTGGCCTTTTGATAGACTGTAATGAGCAATGAAACAATATGAATGAATACTTATAAGATATTTTTTATAGGATAAGGGTGACAAGCGAGTTCATAGTCCACCTGATGGTAAGTGGTTGCTGTGGCCCATAGATATCGACATCTATCCTCGTTTGCGAAACAAAATGCAGATGCATTGCCAACCGTGAGGATTAAGCTGGAATGCCTCTTTTCCAGTAAAAAGGGTCTCCGGTTCTCTACACTCGCCATATGAAACATCAGTATTAAGCAGCTATTTTACGCTGGTATTCTGCGAGAGCGTGGTCCTTCCCCGGTCTAGCCGACCCATTCATGCTACAACTATACTATTAATATAGTTGTAGCATGGCTCTACCACGTAATAAAAAACGTAAATATTTGTTAAAATCCTGTAATAGCACTTGTTGCTACTGATCTGTGGCTTGTTCAATCTCATTGAGAATTAAAATACCGCTTTTTTTAATTAACATGTTGCTTTTACAGAAGACTTCCTGCTCCATTTTTATTTTATCAAGATATTCTCATAAAACTTTTTCTTTTTTTTTTCTATAAGTTACTACAGTGGAATTTTTTTATATTGTAGGGCTATAAGCCAGCTAATGAAGAGCCATCTGAATATCAGACGATTCCTTTAAACAAAATTGAAGACTTTGGTGTCCATTGCAAGCAGTACTATTCACTCGAAGTATCCTATTTCAAGTCTTCCCTGGACAGAAGGCTGCTGGATTCCCTGTGGAATAAGTACTGGGTTAACACTCTAAGCAGTTCAAGTCTTATTACTAACGCTGATTACACCACTGGACAAATTTTCGATCTGTCTGACAAACTTGAGCAGAGTGAAGTCTTTCTAAGTGAGTTGTTGGATCAATTTATTTTCTGTTTGATTTTTAGGCTTGGTATTTGCTCCTTTAATGTAGTACTGAGCAAGAATATATTACTAAAAAAGCTACTAAATTAATTTATGTTCTTACAATTCTACATTGTGTAAGTATGTATATCGCCCCATGAATTGGTTACTGATTCTACGAAAATATTATTTGTATTCTCGTTAATATATTAAGAGTATGAATATCTACTACCCCATATCGTTCCGTACGTATCGTAAGAGACGACAGACGATAACTGAAACAGGACATGGGCAGCAGCACCTTAATGATAACAACTGAACATAATAATAAAACTGCAGTTGTCGACCCGCGTGCAAAGCGTGGCAACTATTTCAAAATTTCATCTTCGTGGCAATCTTTCGAGGAGGCTTATGTTCAGAAGTGGACTATTATAGGTTGTAATCATTGACCTACTAATAAATGGATGGCGAGTCTAGAACAAAATTCACGAAAAATGTGTCCCGAGTCAATCTATACAAGCATAGTTAAGGTGCCTGCGAGTAATAAGGCCTAAGTAACAAAAATCGTATTTACAATAACCGCACTCGCTTAAGGAGATAATAACAGACTCCTATTGCACGATAATGTCTCTAAAAGTTTGCGGACACGCGCTACCTCGTGTCCTGCCACCACAGTTGCATTGTCTATCATAAGATACGACCGCACTCAACTCAACTCGAGACTCAACTGGCGCCCTGACGATAATCACGAGGAGTGAGTTTGTTTATCAGTTTGTTCATCATTATACTAACGACTAAGTATTGTTAGGCGAGGCAATTTATATATTTTTTTAGAATTTTCAGTCTTAATTGCTGTATTAATGTGATTATTGATCACAAATATTAAATATATTACATATATATTGATTATTCGTAGCAATCCAGCCGAGTTTACTGAACAAGTAAGACGGTTCTTGATGTTTTATGGCACCAAAAAGCAATTGCACCGATCCAACTTTACTGAATAACAAAATTATTTTTTTATTTATTGTGTTTCTGTTGTAAAGCAATTATTCTCTTAATAAGAAAAACATGAAACCCTTTCGTATTCAGAAACAACAAAAAAATTTAAAACAAATTTATAATTTTTGAAAATATTACAAATTAGTCTTTTAAAAAGTTGCAATAAATCTTAAAATTCCTACAGGTCGCGGTGGTTTTCTAGTAGCAGGAGCTGATCCCCACGAAAAACGCTCAGAAGACAAATTGAGTAAGGCTACGAAAGACGCTTGCAAAACCACAATTGAAGTGATCCATGGCCTCATGGCACAAATGATCAAAGACAGGCTTTTCAACAGTGTGAGCAGCCGGCCAGCACCCACTACACCTATGATAGAATAAATTGAACCCAAACCAATTACCAATAAGGTCTCAACTGGCATGGATTTAACATCACGAAAATGTTCTATTGATGCAGAAAATCACCTTTGGAATGTTTGGTATTATTTCAGTAAGTTCAAAATACTTAGAAGGGCTTACTTTAGACCTTCTTGCAACAGTGTAGAAGTTGTTGCTCTATTATTGTACGGTAATCATAATTAAAATAAACGATTTGACTTATATGATGCTTACTCAATTTATATATTATGTTACTTAGGGCCGATTGTTCATTCATCCGATAATAGTTACTCTCAAGGTAAAATACAACGTAAACTTATTAAAAATTACTGTAGTACGAATAAAATAGTTTGTTTCACTCTTATATTCAGCCAGGTTATAATTTATTTTAGAGATACATTTTATTGGACAATTGAAAAATCGGTCCTAAAGATTTCTTATATTTACGCGAACACTACACATTTTTAAATAAAACTAATTTTACGGATTTTATCGCGTATATTAACTTATTTTTATATTCCCGACGTTTCGGGTGCTTTCCAGCACCCGTGGTCACGGGGGACTGAGGTGTTTGACGTCTTGCTGTCATAGTTAGCCCGGCTACCTTCAGTTTTTTAATATTAATTTTTGGTTCGATTTACGCAGAATGAGCTTACAGTATCTTGAAGTCTAGCAGTGGTATACTTGGGTTTGGATTTGATTTTATTAATTATGGGATCCCAAGCAGATGTCAGCACCCATCCATCTTCTCTATGGAAATTAGGATGTTTTTTAATTTCAATAGCCTCGCGAATCATCCTTGGGAGGAATCTGTGTTCTTTTGCGAGGATTTGTGGTCTATCAAATCTAATGTAATGGCGGGGACGATCTTGAACATGTTCACAAACTGCAGACTTCCCGATACGTCGGTGCTTCACGTCAGCTATATGTTCTTTAACGCGGGTTTTAATAGATCTTTTTGTTTGTCCTATGTACGAGAAACCACATTCACAATCCAGCTTGTACACTCCTGCATCTTGTAGAGGGATATGACACTTGACGGATGGTAAAAATTGACCAATCTTCTTCAGCGGCTTGAAGTATGTTTTAATGGAAGCTCGCTTCAAGATGTAGCCAACCTTGTCTGTGAATCCTCTGACATAGGGTAGTACAGCAGGCACACACTCGACTGTGGCTGGCTTCACTCGGTCACTGTGACGTAGGCGCGTGACCCGAAGCTTGTTGTCTTGCAGTACTTGCTCGACGTGCTGAAGCTCGGCGGCCAGATGTTTTCTGTCACAGATCCCTCGTGCTCTCTGAAACAAAGATTTTCCCACGGTAGCTATCTGTGAAGGATGATGGTAAGATTCACCATTTAAATATCGGTTGCTATGGGTATTTTTTCTGTACACAGTATAACCAATAGTGTTATCAGGATTTCGGATGACTAAAACATCTAGGAAAGCTAAAGTATTGTTTGCCTCTAACTCCATTGTGAATTGTATTTTAGGGTTTATGGAATTAAGGTGGTTTAAAAATGCAGTTACTTTGTCAGATGGTAATATTGTGAAAGTATCGTCTACGTACCGCTTGTAGAATTTTGGATTTACAGGAGCAGTAAGAAGGGCTTTCTCCTCAAAGTCCTCCATGAATATGTCGGCGACTACGAGAGATACAGGTGAGCCCATTGCCACTCCGTCTACTTGCATGTAGAACTCTTCTTTCCACAATAAATAGCCAGATGTGAGGCAGTGTTTGAGTAATACTGCATATTCTGTGGGCATGTTGTTATCTTCTAGCTTTCTAGTAACAATTGAGATGCAGTTTTCAATAGGTAGGCATGTGAATAGTGACTGAACATCAAAACTGACCATAGTTTCATTGTCAGCGAGATGTAGGTCTTTTATCTCACTAACAAAATAGTATGAATCCTTTGTGTGTGCTCTGGTATGTCCTCTTAGTGGTGACAGTATTTTTGCCAAGTGTTGAGCCAACTTGTAAGTTGGTGAATCGATCTGGCTTACTATAGGACGTAGTGGAGCGTTTGGTTTGTGTATTTCCGGTAACCCATACAACCTCGGTGGTTTGGCACATGATGGTATTGTCGAATTCACGTCGAGATCTAATTTTTCGGAGTATTTCTTTATTAAATCAGTAGTTGTTTTACGTGTATTAGTTGTAGGGTCTATTTTGACCTTTTTGTATGTACTTACGTCCGATAAAAGTTGTTGTACTTTAACATTATACTCTGACGTGTCCATTATTACCGTAGCATTTCCTTTATCCGCGCGGAGAATCGTGAGCTCTGGTCTGTTGCGTAAGTTGTACAACGCTTTAAATTCGTCTTTGGGGAGGACGTCAGGACGTCAAACACCTCAGTCTCCCGTGACCACGGGTGCTGGAAAGCACCCGAAACGTCGGGAATATAAAAATAAGTTAATATACGCGATAAAATCCGTAAAATTAGTTTTATTTAAAAAAATCGGTCCTAAATATCGTTACATACTAAGACTACGCATACATTGGTCAAACTGTTGCCGCAGTGCATAAAGAAATTACTGGTGGTTTCCAAATGTTTGGGCCAAAATTGGCAACTATCTGCAGCTTCTTTGTCAAAGTTAGGGACGCAGGTGAGCACACAGCCCACCTGGTGGTAAGTGGATGCTGTGATCCATAGATAGATACCTATATCTATCTTCGGACTAATACCCGGATGTCTATTAGTCTAAAATATGTCTCTAAATTTGTCATGTTTAACTGCACGCCCTCGCTTTATGTCCCAGATTGGCGATGGCAGACTAGCAAAATGTTCGGCTTCACCAAGTTTCTTTTTAAATGCAAATCAAGCGTGTACCTGATGCGGCCATTCTTTATGTAGCCAGCCCTCGTCTATATGTTTAAGAAACGTTTCATTCTCAGTACGATTTGTTTTATTACATACGAGGTGCATGTAAAAACAGTTTATATTACAAATTATTAATATATTTAATGCTATAATTTGCAGTGAAGGCTCAGAATAAGTAATATAGGAAAATGGTGAAGAATAATTCATTAAAAACAATTGGTAAAGTTTGTACCACCGACTTCAATATAAATAAAATGAGAACATCATCAATGTTGTCGAAATCAGTTAAATACGCATTATTAAGTGTAACTAACTTTGTACGTGGTAGAGCCAAGCTGCAGCTATATTTATAATATAGTTGTAGCACGAATGGGTCGGGTCGACCGGGGAAGGACCACGCTCTCACAGAATACCAGCGTAAAATAGCAGCTTAATGCTGCTGTGTTTTGTATGATGAGTGTAGAGAACCGGAGACCCTTTTTACTGGAAAAGAGGCTTTCCATCTTAGTCCTCAAGGCTGACAACGCATCTGCATTTTGATTCGCAAAGGAGGATAGATGTAGATGTCTATGGGCCATAGCAACCACTTACCATCAAGGACAACTAAACAACAAAAAACAACAACACAAGGACTGTGTGCTCGTTTGTCACCCTGTTTCTATATAAAAAAAATAAAACTACTGATCAGATCTTGATCAAATTTATATGGGACCACATGAGAAGCTAGCTTTCAAATAAAAAAAGAATCAAAAAAACTCTGTTCAACTAGAAAAAAGTTCCACATAAAAAATACAGTCGAATTGAGAACCCCCTCCTTTTTTTGAAGTCGGTTCAAGATTGCAAACATTCTGTTCTTTATATTTTAAATTCAGTATTCGTGCTAATGCATTATTTTAACTGATTATCATACATAAATGTCTAAAGCCTACCATATTACTACGCACGCCCACATTCGTAAGGGTCACTCGGTCGGCAAAAACGTTAATTTAATCTCACACAGAGGAGCCCGTTTGCGCGTAGTTGTTGCCCATAAATCACATTAAATTTGGGATAATTTAAAAAAAATATTGAAGCCTTATTTACTCGTGATTTCATAAATTGCAATAAGGGTATATCATTATTTATATATTTGAACTTAAGTATAAAATTTGGCTACTCTTAGAAAAATAACCCTGTATAGAAAACCCGGCATAAGAAGATATGCCGTCATAGCGGTAACAACAGTGCTTGTCATTCACGAAACGAAGTACAGCAGCATTACTCGTATACTGCAATGTTGCGCTGGTATTCTGCTTTAGCGTAGACCTTCCCTTAGTCGAGTAAGAGTATACTAATAAATATAACTACCTTTCTAGTTTCTACGACGTAAGTTTTCAAAAATATTTTCAAATAGCTTGCAAAACCCAAAAGTGCACGCCTCATGAGCGTTTCATTTAATTTTGATGAAAAAAATCTTAACAATAGTGTCGATAATTTTTACAAGAAAAAAACAGAGCTGACTTTTAAACGGTGTTAAGTTCAATAACAAAAATCAATAGAGATCTTCATTAGAATGTATGAAATAAATGTATTGCTTACATTTCTATTAAGTGAGAAGACTCGTCGACGCACAGACTAACGAACGGCAGTCCATATATTTCTTCAATTATATTTTTTGATATGTAATCTAAAGTAAAGCAATTAGAAAATAAAGTAACCTTTATAATTTAATGTCTGTAGTTATTGTAACATTCATATAATATGGATTTGATGTCTATTTGAGGTCCACATATCGAGAGTAGAGCACTCTCTCACGTTGTGAAGCGTGCAATAGTTAGCAATTGTCTAGAAAGATGACGTTATTATCATCATATCTTTGTGTATGTTTAACTGTAATTAGTTTCTCGGATATGGCTCTAAAAGAAATTTAATATTTAGACAATGTCTTACTTTTCAAGTAGGTTTCATCTCAGAGAAAATCACAATTATTTTCTAACGCCGAGCAAAGGTGATCGTATTTCGATATTTATTTTAACAGGTTGTGCAAAATACGACAGAGTAATAATTATTCATGTTGAGTGGCCATCACTCAGGATAATATACTTGTAGTTACTAGGTGGTCCTTTTCGCCCTAGGAGTTCATCAGGATAAGTATCACCCTACAACTTAGCCCTACCACTTAACACAATGCTTACCCTAC